GGACGAGAGACCGTGGTTCGTCATATAATTGGGCCGTCTCGCCTGCTCGTAAATATGAAAAATAATACTGTATCCTAAACTTGCGCCGAGACCTATAGTTCGCATCAAACGTAAATATATACTACGATCAAACTGCTTTTTCAATACCGCGCAAAGAAGAGCTTGCGCTGTGTCGGTCGAAGCGCGGGAAAGGAATGGAAGAGTTCGTTATGCCATATGCACTGTATGCGTGCGTACCCGTATCATATTCGATTACGCAAAACTGGAATGCTGTAGTTGAAACTGTACAGAAATTGTACATAGATCATCGGGATAAATATCGGCAGATGATATGTTATTAATCAACTCCGGCATTGACCTATTGTCATAGAGAAAATTTTATTACCGGTACCGGTACCAGTATCACAAACAAAGTAGGTAACTGATGACATGATGAATAGACTGATAGAGTTAGTCAGAAAATAGCAGTGATTGGTTAATCACAGACTACCGCACGTTTTTATTCAGATACTGGTATGTATGTATGTATGTTTATTTATCTCGTAAAAGCAACAAAAGCGTACGGTAGATAGATTGTCGTTACTGAAGACGGGATGTATGCACAAGCCAGTCTGGATTTCATGGCCTTTTTGAACGAGAAATCGGGCGTGCAATCAGAAATTCCCGCGTGCAAATAAGAATTCCTGGCGTGCAATTATAGCTCACGACGTGCAAAACAACTGCACTCGCGTGCAACTGACTTTGACATCAGATACCTCTCAATACATCCGCGTAAAATTACCGGTATCGAATAAAAAATACATTAAATCAGAGAAAAAATGGACGTTTGACCTTTGACCCCAAACATTATTTCTACAGTTTGTCGCTAATTTTGAGAGTGTTTGTGCGACTTTGAATACCGGTACTGTTCAGTACATCCGCGTAAAATTATTGGATAAAAAATACGTTGAACCAGAGCAAAATGGACATACTTTGTCATTAATTTTGGTAGTGTTTTTACGTAGAATTAATGGATAAAAAATACGTCAAATTAGAGCAAAATGGACGTTTGACCTTTGACCCCAAACATTATTTTCATACTTTGTCACTAATTTTGGGAGTGTTTGAGCAACTTTAGATACCGGTACTGTTCAGTACATTCGTGTAAAATTATTGTATGAAAAATACGCTGAATCAGAGCCGTACTTGGCCATTGGTGCGGAGGCGATCTTTTCGTCCATAACTATTCTCACGGGATTCCTATTTCCTATCATTCAACACGATATGGACCTTTCCCCGAGCATCGACTTCCTTGTTTACTTCGTGACATTGGCCAATCAGCAAGATGCCAAAAAGGACGTAACAATGAGAGGAATTTTTCGCGGGTCAAAGGTTGGGGAAAGGTCCATGGCCTTTTTGCTTCGCAATATTTCGATCAGACCAAATCTTGCAGGCTGGTATTTGTCGACAATTGTGGAGTTATAATATTTTGGCATCTTTATATTACTGGATTATTGATTTTAAAACCATTTAAACCGATTTACATTGGTGAGCAGTTGCAAATTTTCGGCGTGCAAAATTGATTTCGCTCGCGTGCATTTTTGCGGAGCGCTAGCGCCCTCGGGCGTGCACCTGCCATGGAATCCAGTCTGGTGCACAAGGCCATACCGGTACCGTACTGGCCTGAAACACGAACGTGCAGCATGCATACCGGTACCGGTACCCTTTGAAATTTTTCAAAAATGAAGTAAATCGAATACATATAATATGGTCCCTTATACAGACAGTTGTGCAAGGAGTGTGGGTGGGTGTGGTAATACTGTAATAGGGGTAAGGGTGGAGTATACAAAACTGTTTGTACAAGGGAGTTTGTAAGACAAGACAACATATATAAATACAATATAACACCACACAAAATAGATTAAATAAATAATACTAAACTTTAAAATTTGGACATAAATACACCCTCGGCGGTGTGGCGCATCGTGCTAAGCGTTAGGAATACGCTCGCCACCGCATCTCTGATTACCCTTCATGGGATCGCAGGTTCGAATCCCATGCGGGGATGGTCATGTGCGAGAGGATTGCTGGAGTCCTTGCCGCTGTAGGGTGGTTCACGGCTTCCGCTGGTCGGTTACGGCTTCCTCCACCATCAAGTCCATCTGTCCATGCTTCCGAAAACAAATAACTGGCTAAATAATCCCATACCCAATTTGGACTGGTAACCGGACGAGAGGCCGTGGTTCGCCATATGATTAAGCCGTCTTATCGGCTTTCCTCTCCCCCGGGATAAATATGTAAATCCTATCCTATCCTTGAGCAGTTGAGTGACGGTATCACATAATATAAATGTGGTATGGAATGGTCATGTTTAAACAAGTGTTAGTGTTCAATATCATGTATATGTAGGGTTACCATATTTCTGTGACTTCAAAGCGGGACACCTTCAAAGATAACGACTCCTTAGCTGTTATTTTGTGACTTTACAGTTTCCGATTTTACTACATAGGCCTACATTTAAAGCTATCCCCGTTGACTTCATTGACCATATTGTCATCGAGAGTTCATGCGCATAGTCTCTGCCCAAATATCGGGTTCAGTTCGAAACATACAAGGGAATTGACGTTAACGAATTACTAATAATTGAATATAGACTAATTAGTATTGATTTCACATGGGATACGTTTGCTAACAATGTTAGCGGTAAACAAACTTCAGTAAGTAGGCGAGCGTTGCGCTACACAGAAACAACAGTATCGAGAACATGCACATGTATTTGGCTTGAATGACTGAACGCCAAAGCGGAACATTTGGATGACTTGTCGGGACGGCGAGACAAGACGCTAAAAAGCGGGACAGTCCCGCCTAAAGCGGGACGTATGGTATGCCTATATGGTATGCACTACTCAAGGGTGATAATGACTTTGGTAGACTATGGCTATATGCATTTCCATAAAACTTGTGGTGGTTTCACTTTTGCCAGAAGTAGAAGGTTTAGAGGTACAATGCAAATGAGAATATTAATATATAAAGAGAAAGAAAAACATTTTAGCATGTCAAGGATTTTCAAAATTGAATTAGTAATACTATGGTATCCTGGGGTGAAGAAAGGGGAGAAAATGTTTGATTTCGGCAACATTTAATGGAAAGAAAATTGAACAGCATGCTACTTTTAACAAAAACCATTGTCCCTGTCCCTATTGTCTTCTAATAAAACGATTGCAAACACTTTTTTTTGAGAATGGATGATTGGCAATGAACATAAGTTGAAGCACAGTATCAAATATGACTTTCTATCAGTGAGTGGTATAAAGATATTAGACAAGAAGTATTCAAATTGTTGGCTATTTTTGTAATAGCACTAAGAGATGACTTTGTTTTTGATAGAACCATGTTTGTGTGTTGTTCCAAGACAGTTTATCGTCGATCATTACACCCAGAAAGCGGGTCTGGTTGACCCTTTCTATATTTTGGCCTTTCAATTCCAGATTTTGTTATGATGTTGGGGATTTTTGCTTTTGTGTGCTAAATACCATATATTTTGTTTTCTTGACGTTAATAGTAAGCTTATTAGCAGATAACCAAGCTTGAATATTTTTAAGTCAGTATTGGCTTTGGTCAGAAGCTCAAGCAAGTCTTTGCCTTGAAGATAAGGCGTCGAGTCATCAGCAAAAAGTATGATATCAGAGTGGAGAAGAGAATTTGGAAAGTCATTAATAATGATTGAAAAACATAATGGAGCTAAAATAGAACCTTGCAGTGTGCCTACAGTCAGATTAGAGTATGTGCTGGATGCCACATCATTATCTACTCCTTTCTGATAAGTAGCTTTTAAACCAATTATATCTCTGACCTCTAACAATATTATTCAATTTAGCTAGTAATATGTCATGGTCAATACTATCAAATGCCTTGAAACCGGTACCAGTTGTTGGACTTGGAGAGCTTGTTTGTCTGTTTGTGTACCTACTCTACACTACTCTTTATTTTTCAGTTTTATTGTATAGTTACAATATATAAAAAATTGTGCAGTTGTGTGTTCAAAATCCACACTCAAGTCTGCAAGTACTTGTCATACACCCAAATTTTTTTAGTGTACGGTATTTCTGTATTTATCAAAATTACTTCAATGTCTGAATCTGTTGTTTTGGGTTATAAGTCTGGTGAACATGTCTTAAATCTTTTTAGATTTTGCCTATTTTTCTGATTTTGTGTAAATTTGTTTGTTTTGTTGTAACGGAAAATCAAAATAAACTTACTATATACTGATATAGCACCAATGACAAAAAATTAATAATTAAGTATGAGTGTAAAGAGAAATATGTATACTTATCAGCAATTTAGAACTGTAAGTTGATATGTTGATAGGTCATATGAATATTATGAATCTGGGCAGGTCCATAGAATTATGGCAACAATGACTTGCAGGACACCACAATGCCACAATAATGTATATCAATCAATAATGTATAAATGGCTTTCCAAATAACAAACATTCAAACACCGCAATCATTACAAAACTAGTTTATTTACTAGTCATTACAAGTAAATTGTTTCAACAAACATAATAATTAAACCAAAGCTGCAATAAGACATTTTGATATATTAGCCTAGTTTGAGCAGTTTCGAATACAGTCACAGATGACAATTTACATGATTTTCAGATTCTTGATTAGTAAAGTCTGAAAGATGGTTGCTTCTGGTGAGGGGGTTTCAGTGGATTTAATTTTTTTGGCTTTTTTGAAACTTGACTTGTACTTTCGAAGACTTACAGACTTGACCTGACTGAATTCAATTTGCGCTGTTGCTTTGACTTCCAACAGTTGAATAGGAATACTGATATATAAATCAGAAATTAAACTTGGACCCATCAGTAACAATTTAATTTTAACACCAAAGGCAACTCGGCGCTATAGCCAACATCTGTCACAGCATTCTGGCATTGAATGATACTCAAACATAACTGTTCAAGTTTTATACCAATTCCATTTCATTGGAGAAAAATCATTTTCTTGTTTCAGATCTTTTATTTATATTTCACCATGAGCAAAGGCGGTCGTGCTCCATCTCGAGTATCTAAATCGAAGAATGCTAAAAAAACTGCACCGAAAAAAGGAAAAAGTGACCAAACTGATAAGGCTGCTTCAAAGGGGGCTGTTACACTTGACCCGTTTATGATGAAGGAGACTGGCACAATTACAGATTACTGTACTCCTCCTGCTCTCGATAACAACATCAAATTGGAGGCTCTGGATAGCGTTTTGTTATGTAGATGGAAACTTGGTTCGAAAGGAATATGTAAAGAAAATTTCGATTCACCGGATGAATTGATTGAGCATTTACTTGATAGCCATGCTCGATGCGGGACAAGAGGATATGTGTGTTGTTGGGAAAATTGTTCCAAGCGAAGTGTTTCACATTACAACACAAGAAATGAATTTAAGGTTTGTGATGCATTTTTAAATATATACTTATATATAGAGATTGTAGTTACAGTCATTGCTATGCTAATTTTATGCATTCTTTCTTAAAAACTTCCATATTGTTCATGTGTGACAAAATTCCTTGTCTTTTTTGAATTGCATTCGGTAAATCCCACTCCTTGCATCCCAATTACGCAAACTAACACACAAGATGCTCAGATTAATGGTTAAATTGAAATCCTAACCCTGCACTCTGCAGACTGAATATAGAATGAATGGATAACTTGATTAAATGCAGTTAGTAAGATGAAATGATTAGGAATTGATTTGCAGACATAACAGTATTGTTGTCTCCCCTCTTCTATATGATAAATATAAATATCTTATTCTACTAATCTCTCACATTATGCTGCTTTCCTGGTCACATTGACCTATCAATCACCCTTTCCCTAATAGGCTAAATCAGGGGTGTGCAACCTGCGGCCCACAGCAAAAAATTGTCTGGTCAGCAGGGAACTGCCAATTTTGTATGATTATATATGACCTGCAAAACGAGTAATTCAGTTTTTGGTACATGCAAGTAATTCCAACTCCTTTGCGTTGCAAAGCCTTAACTTTGGCATTATTTGTGTATTTTCCATTTTTTGTTTAATCGCTGGGTTGAATTTTAACAATAATATTTGTTTATGAAACACATAAAGGGTCAACTCACTCATTTCAATTTAGGATCACCTAAAATTTCACACCGTTATTTCTCCATTTACTCCAATCGAGGACAAAAGTAGTGTAGATGATGATGACAATTCATCTGATGAGAGTTATAACGAGAAAAAAGATAAAGATAGCACAGGTATATATGGTAACTTGTAATATAATTTGACAGTGAATAGGTGACATCAATGGTTCATAACCCGCGGCTCTCGATTTAATATGACCCGTTTTTTTGGGGGCGTTCTAGACACAGCCAATCATTACATCATTGTCACTGTTAAAGCACATGTGTATTTTGTAACAATTTTATTATACTGGTATGTGGTATCATAGTTATACATACTGGTATTGGCCCATTGCGAGCGCTCTACTCTTCTGGTCCGCAAATATCATTCAACGTTCATATCAGTCATTCAACCCTGGAAACTGCTCTATATCTCTATTTCAATCAGGTGTCTGTAGCAATCTAGGATTCTGCCACTATATCACAAGTGTTCCGTTCCGCAAGTTCACATTGAAATTTGAAAGTCTATATTATTATTAGAAAACATATTCAAATACAAATTAGGTTTTCCACTATTATTAAATTTGCTGAACATTAAAGATTATTGCACATTATTAATTATTGCAATTTTATTTATCAAATTATGTTTTTTGCATGAGACAATTAAATTATTGCAGAAGATTAGAAACATTTTCTTATATATGATACTGATTTAAATTTATTCAGATTCCGACGATGCTGATAGTAGTGACGAGGAGTTTTTATTAAAAAAACGGAAACGAAAACCCAGCAAGCCTCAAAAAAATCAATCGAAGCCTAAAAGAATTTGCTCGGATTCAAAAGATTCTCCTAAACCTACCATTACGAAACAAACAATTAAAATTACACCTAGTGTTGCTGTTACAGCTGTAAAAACCAGTGGAAATTCAGAGCTAACACCAGTTGCTTTAAGCTTTTATCGATTCACATGTATGTGGGTCGTTCGCTTCATGATGAGAGGAAAAAACAGCACACAGGAGCAGAATGTGATCTGTCACAGAAAATTTTCTATTATCGAAGATAGTATTGAGCATTTAATAGGTCACCATCTTGGTAGAGTAAAAGACATGAAAGAACCTTTAAAATGTTTATGGAAAGACTGCTCTCTGGAAAACAAAGTCTTCAAAACTATTGAGGAATTAGAAAAGCATGTGTTGGTCCACACTGAAGAAAAGATGTTAACACTCAACAGCAATCTGACACTGCATGAAAGTGAGTTATGTATGCTCTATTTTTGAAACTCCCGCAGTATGTGTACCAGGTTAGGGTTAGGCCATAATTTCATCCAGATTTTCCTTGTTTATCAATTCTATTACGAGCCCCGGGACTGTCTGTTGGCCATGCGAATATGCCCCCTGCCAGTAGGTTTCAGTCCGTTTACACAGCTTGATGTAAAATAGGTGAACAAAATTAGTTACCTCCATATTGGTACAAATACTTCTGGAGTGCTCTATTTCTTTTACTAATTAAGAATGAGTAACCATCCGCAATGCCAAGTTAGGCAAATATTTTTATGTTGATTGTGTGTCGCTTCTCGCTAGCCAGTATTGGTGTATCGCGCCTTCCTCCACCCTGAAATGCCATATTCAGGTTTCTTTGTCATATTGTTCAAATAAAGCAGTGGTTCTCAAACTTTTCAAATTGAAAAAAAAAAATAAAAAAAATAAATAAATAACTTAAAATAAAAGTGAAATAAAAAAATAGTTGTGAAAAAACATAAAAAAAATGAAAAAAAAAATAAAATGCAAAAAAAAAAATTAAAAAAAAAAACGGAATAAAAAAAAGCAAAAATAAATTAAAAAAAAAAAAAACGTGAATAAAAAAGGTTGACAACGATGGGCCGCCTCGTGGCCCATCGTTGTCACGCGTTTTTATTTTGAGAATATTTGCTTCGGCTTTGGACCAACGTTGTCATGCATAATCCTACGCGCACAAACGGTGTTCCCTGGGTTTCTAACTCACTACTGATTTTCTTAAGCAATATTCAATAAATTCAAAATGTAAATGTTCTAAAAGTTCTCCATGCTACAAGTTCCACTAGAAGTAATATATATCGCAAGAGTGTCCGGACAATTGAGCAGTTTAGCAGCATTCTCCAATTCAATTACCTTCTACACGTAAACACAAATTTCCCGAATTTCCGTACTCAATTTTATATTCTCTTATCATTATTATAAATATATTACTTCTAGTGGAACTTGTAGCATGGAGAACTTTTAGAACATTTACATTTTGAATTTATTGAATATTGCTTAAGAAAATCAGTAGTGAGTTGAAACCCAGGGAACACCGTTTGTGCGCGTAGGATTATGCATGCCAACGTTGGTCCCAAGCAGAAGCAAATTTTCTCAAAATAAAAATGCGTTACAACGATGGGCCGCGAACCGTTTTATTTGAAAATTTTTTTTTTTTTTTTGCCTTTTTCATTTCATTTTTATTTTCGTTTTTATTTTTAATTTTTTTTTCTTCATTTTATTTATATTTTTTTTTAATTTTTTTTATGTTTTTCCACAACTATTTTTTTATTTTTACTTCTATTTTGAGTTTTTTATTTTATTTTTCCTTTTTTTTTTCAATTTTACGCGTGACAACGATGGGCCACCATAGTAGTAGTACCTGTACCAATATATACATTTTTTGATAGATTCCATAAATTTTGAACCATGAAAGTACTTATTTGTTAGTATTTCATATGTTTTTCCTAAATCCATTTATCCATAGATATGTTTTGTTGCTCATTCTATGTTGCCTAGCGGTTAGAGCAGCATTTCTCAAACTGTGTGCCGCGAGAGATTCTCAGGTGTGCCGCAGAGCTTTTTGGAATTTTAGAAAATTGGGATTTGTATTGCACATCGAGATGTATGTAACGAGCAAGGTTGAGACTTGTGCGCAATATCCATCATTAGATTGATAATATTATTACATTTTTATTGTTGCAGTAAGGGTGATTGTTACTTCATAATTGTTATAATTAGGGTTCCATCACAAAAGTCATTTGTTTCAGCCAGTTCTGTTGCCAAAATGTCATTGACAGTAACCAGTAATGCTAACCGGTTCGGGGATCTTATAAAATTCCATGAGACTGGACAAAACGTGTTTCTTATTGTGTGTGAACACTCAGCAATCTGTCTGAGAGATGTATTCTGTTTTTAGTAATTCATTTGTTGACAGGACCAATTACACTTAAAAGTCGCATACAGTTAAATATATCCCAAGTATTCGAGATTCGATTCTAAAAAAATATTCGATTCGATTCTGAAATTATCAGGTATTCGAAAATGTCCAGCCCTAGTTATAATGTATTTGTAAACAAAACGTCCACCCTCCACCATGTTGTTTTGGCGATCTGCTTACAAATTTTATTCTATCATCGGTCCAAATCTATTAAAATAATCTAGCCATTTGCATCTCCATGACTCTGTGGACGTAGGTTTCCTGCTTTGACTGAAATTCAAAGCAGAAATGGGAACAACGGAATTTCAATTGTTTCTCCAAATAGGCACACACATTACAATTAGCAGAAAAAAATTGCTCAAAGCTAAGCTTTATTTTTACAAGTGTGTCGCGATTTTTTTTAATTTTCTAAGTGCGCCGCGAGCAAAAAAAGTTTGAGAACCACTGGGTTAGAGCAAGGGTAGGCAAGGTTTTTGGACTAGGGAACAAAAATTTCACCCATGTAAGTGTGATGTAAAAAGTTCATTTGTGAATATTTACAGTGTTACAAAAGCAAACAATAAGCCATGTGCCAAAACTGAATTTAATCGCAAATTGAATTACCCAGCGTGCAGGATCTGGACCGCAAGCCGTAGTTCGCCCATGTCAGGGTTAGGGCATATGTCCATACTAAGTCGGTGTCACCTGTTGTATATCTCGAGCTAAAACATTCGCCCAATAGCTTCAAAATTTTTAGTGGTTAAAGATTGTTGTTGGTGCTAGATTCACATAACTGCTGGCCGGTTGAGGCTTACGCCACCATCAAGTTCATGCTTCCGAAAAGAAATAACTAACTAATCCCATACCCGACATGGAATGGTAACCGGACGAGAGTCTGTGGTCCACCATATGGTTAAGTCATATTATTGATTTTCTCCTCTCCCGGGATAAAATCCTTATCCTAAATCCTATCCTTATTTTAAACATTATTACGGTATTTCCGGTTAATAAAATATAAGTCTACCTCGCAAGTAAGATGAAGCCTATTTTCAGCACTAAAAAAGTAGTTTTTCACTTTTCCACATAGCCTCCAATAAGACGGGTAGAAAAAAAAGTACGGTACTATTCTAATAAAGAGTAGAATCTTCAATTGTGGTCTTCAATCCATTAGTTAGTTAACAGCTGTGTTTTCCAGTCTGGGGTGTCTTTTTTTTGAATCGGCAAAACCTAAGGGTCATAAATAAATCACTTCATCTCATGGTAGCCATTTTCGTTTTGAACTACTGATATCTGGCATAAATAGGGAGTAATGTTCCATGCACTGAACCATGTTTTTTTAAAAGAATAAAGACAAATTCCAGCTGGCAGTACAAAGTCGAATTAAATAAGATGATTGACAGACACTTTGGCACGTATTCATTATAAAATATATCAATCCAGATATGAGGTTTACACAAATCGTGTCTGAGAACTTTCGCACTTTTTTTTCAACTGTAAAGCACTTTCGCACTCATAATTTCCTTAGAGTGAACACTGCTGAGAAGACTCGTATGCAAAAAATGGGTGACCCCAGAAAGAATGAAAAAAGCATAGTGACCCAATAAGACTCTACACTGCTGAGAAGACTCATATGCAAAAGATGGGCGACCCCAGAAAGAATGAAAAAAGAATAGTGACCCAATAAGACTCCCCCCCCCCCCCCCAGAAAATAAAAAATCATGTAAATCTGTAATTGTAAATCTATTATTATCCATTAGGTAATTAGCCATTTCTACTATTGATTACACAAAATTTCAATGAATTTTCTACATTCTTTTTACTGACTACTATTATCGTATAATAATAGTGACTAAAGTTATCACTTGTTTTTGACAGGTTCTTTGACAAAACCAGATACGTCGTCCCTTGCCAAAGAAGCAACAAAAACCGATGTTGCCACAACTAATCGAAAGAGTAACACTCCTGAGAAACCTGACAATGCTTCGAAAAAGTTGGATGGGAAAGCGCCTGATGCTTCCCCACTTTTAGAAAAAGAAAATAACAGTTGGATGGTGTCTGTTTTGCGAAGTTTGCTATCTACCAAATTAGAAACTGGAGGTGTTGCACTTTGTCCTGCATTCCACGCTTGTCTATATTGTAGATTTTGCTCCTTGAAAAATAGGTTCTTTCGAAGTGGTAATTCAGTGCCTCTCTCAATGTTTGAATTCACTCTTTTGAAAAACAAGTTTGAAGGCTGTTTAAATAATCCGGTAAAATGTTTTCAAAAGCTTTTCGATGATTTCATCTCACATGAAGATAAATTTCATTCTGGAAAATCAGTCCGAGATTCTTTTTGGGTGAGAAGTATCAATGCAGAGACTCGTACATGTTCCAAACATACCTTGAATCAGAATGTCGTCAATTTGTTTCCAGTTCAGTACAAATCATGCCGTGAATGTATGAAATTGTCGAAATCTTGGCCGACATCATCCCATGGCAATTTAGTCATAACATTAGATGCAGGTTTCCCTACTAGGTATCCTGAAGTTTTGATGGTTAAAGGCAAAGTTTACCAGTTAAGTTCTGTAGTCTGTGAAGAGGATGTATCTGATGGCGACTCGTATTTCACATATGTGAGGGTAAAACACATGTGGATTTCATATTTTGAGAATTCTTCGAATGTTGCAGACGCGTCCAAAGCTTTTAGCGACAAAGGTGCTTGCATACTGATCTACACGGAGAAAACAGCAGATTGTAACATTCTACTTTCTAATCCTGATGCTCAAGTATATGAGTATGGCGACTGTAAGACGGCAAATTCACAAGAATTGGATACTAACAGAAATCATAATGAAATTAAGGTGAATGGATCAACTGCTAAAAAAGAGACGCCAAGAACGAGAGAAGATGGATTTGTCGCTTTATTTAGGTGCAGGCAATTAATTAATGATGGAAAGGATTCGTGCATTAATGCTGTCCTACAAGCATTACTACAAACTGGTCTTGCTACTGTTGTCAAGAAGTTATGTAAAAGTAGTGATAGATGTTACTTTTGCAGGATGTTATCTTTCACACAACGAGCCATCTGTAGCCCCGAAGGTTCTCCAATAAAAGCATTTGAACTCGTGTTACACAAAGAAGAATTGAATATTGGGGAGGAAGAGGGCAACCCTGAGGTATACATCAGTGATTTGATAGGGGAAATCATATCTGATGAAAGAGCACATCACAATTCTAGCGATGCCAAATCTAGATTTACAATTAAACTGCAAAAAGAGTCTTGCAGTTGCATTAATAACTGTGAATCATATCACTGGGCTGTATCGCCGACTAAAAAGAATGAAAAGCTAGAGGACCTAATGATAACGTGCACCATGCAATGCACTCAATGTAACATAATGACAAAAGTGAAACCTGTAGAAATGCCTGATAATTTGATTGTTACAATTGAAAAAAATGAAAGCTTCACTGATGCGAGTGTACATTACCCCGACGAATGGGCATATTGCAATGTACGCTATTTCCTGGCTTCCGTTATTGTTGATGATCCAACGCAGAAGACAGAACATTATTTCACTTATTGTAAAGTATTTGGAAGGTGGATGTGTTATGATGATGAAAAAGTGACCAAAGCCTCTGCATTTACTGATGTATTGGCAAACAAACGTGCCTGTGTGCTGATTTATGTTACAAAAGAACTAACTTCTCAGTTGCTGCAAAATGCTCTTGCTGATGCCAGATGTTACACTTACAAGAAAAGAGATGTTAAAAAGAACTTAACTGGAGTTGTAGTAAAACAGGAGCCTCTTGATGAATACTAGAAGCAGGTTGGAAGACGTAAGCACATAGTGCTAAGATCAATTTTGTGGTCCTGGTTTTAAGGTCAAATATTCATATCCTGGGCTCTGATATAGAAAAGTAACAATCATTGTAACAATTGGAAATATCATTAGTATATGTGATAGGTTTTATTGTGGAAATAAAGCTATTCTTGACTACATGCTTTTACATTATATACTTATATAATTTTTTCCATGTGGATTCGAATTTTTTTAAATGGCCATAATAGTAATTTTCATTTCTGTATTAGACAAGCATATACACTGCATATGAAAAATCAGTCATTTTCTGTATTTTAACTCCTAAATGAGACGGGAGAAAAATAACGGTTATATGACCGTGTTTTTGTGTTTGTGAAGTTTGCTTGATATTTCGTTTGATGTATAGTGCACACTCTTAGATTAGATTGACTGTTTTACCTGGGCATATCATGTATTGTGTGTATACCTGTGTGGGAATCATGTTTTTAGTAATTGTTTCAGAATCGCTAACCTCAATTATAGACAATAAATATCTTATTTTACTCGTTTAGGTTTTTATGCATTTCAACATGGATTAAAATCATAGTTAATTTGGAATGTCAATCTTCAAAGAAAGCGTTTTGCTTTTATAAAAAGCATTGTTTTTGTTATTTTGGGCACAGTTTTTCTTTCTATGTCAAGGAACCTATGCTGTGGTAATTCCACTATTTTCTATTTGATAACTGCACTCATAGTACTCGCAGCATTTCTTTTTGCATTCTTAGCATTAGCACATGAAAAAACATATCTATATCATTCTTAGATACTCACCAGGTATGTGAACCAAGATGGCGGACACCGGAACGTAGTACTGTATGTGTACCAGGTTAGGGTTAGGCCATAATTTTATTCCAATTTTCCTCATTTTGGTTCTAATACGAGTTCGGGGACTAGACAAGTGACTCGCGTAGTATTTGTATCTGAAGTTATGGCCTATTATTATCTTGGTTCACATACTTCGGTAGTACCCATTTTAAATTTAATACCTGTTTTAATTTCGCTACAAGGATACACTGTAAACAGGACCTTCATTTATGAAAAAAAATTAGCATTTGCTCTGTAAGCAGTAGGATTCTTCGAAAAATTTCAAAATGATGATAACACAAATAAAAAATTGAACATTGGTTACATTTTGTCAAGACTGTTGCACGCATTTGTGTACTTTCCATGCATATATTTTTTTGTTTTTGTTTTAATCATTTCATGGCTCATTTTAATTCAATCCATCACGAATCCTTCGGAATGTGTAAATATAGGGAATTGATGGGGAATAGAAAGTTTTTGATATCATTGAAAAGTTCTTATGCATTGTCACATGTACTTTGGATTCTATCTTGGGTTTTAAGGGCACCCCCGTAGTATGGGAACCGAGATGGCGGACACCTGAACATGGCAGGTATGTTTACCAGATTGGGGTGAGGTATTAATTTTGTTCCAATTTTCCTCATTTTAGTTCTATTGCGAGTTTGGGACCAGCCAAGTGACTGCCTTAGTATTTGTACCTGAAATTATGGCCCAACCCCAACCTGGTACACATACTACGTTCCGGTGTCCGCCATCTTGGTTCACATACTACGGGAGTATCGTTTAAAGATCAAATTTATAAAATTTCGATTTGGTGCTGAGCTAATTTCCCCTCTGAATTGTGATCTTTTCTCAGAATTTGATTTCACTTTTCAATCAAAATTAGAGCTCCTGGCATCTTATATATAGATTACGAACAATTAGACAGTTTGATAATAATATTTTCAGGACTGGAACCAAATTAAGAACCGACTTTTTCGCTATCTTAAGACCGATCGATCGCTCTAGCTAGAAAATACGTTCATAAAATATAGTATTGGTCGACCAATTCAGTGCATGAGGCATTCTTAGCTTCAGATATATATATATATATGGAGGGGAAATTATATCGTTGAAAAGTTTTCACAAAGTCGTTAGCTGACAAGCCGGAATGTGCCTTGACTTCCGCTTTGTGAAGATAGCTAAGCTGGACTCAAAAAGTGGTAATAGAGAAGAGTGAAAACAAAGTCGGTTGTTCTGTTTTCTTAGACCTCGTAAGAGCTTATGAGACTTTCGAGCACGATATTTTACTTCGAGAACTAGGGTAGGCCTACGTCATTGGAGTATTCAGAGGAATACATTCAACCTCGTCGCATCAAACTTGAGAGTACGCCATTAATATATATAGAATGGAGAATACACGTTTAAATTGGTTATATATACTAACTGCGGGGTGCCACAGGGTTCAACAATTGGACCGCCATTATTTCATGTTATTTAAATGATCTGCCACCCGCCTCATTCCAGTTGCAGACTTGGTCGGCCTTCCGGTAGGCATTAGTGTGATCTGTTTACCTGTGATTAGCCAAATATGTAAATCCTATCCTATCATCAATACCTGCACAAAATTGCTGGTTCCATAGTGATTCGTTGCTACCGTCAACGTCAGTAAACCATTCACATTTATAGTCAATTTCTATTATGACACAAATTATAATGCTGCTCAAGACTCACATGTGTCGCGGACTTAAGTGTCTGCGTTATGTTTTGTGTATATATATATTTTTTATGTTTATAGACTGTTATGTTGACATTTATTTAATGCTGTTTGTCGGATTTGGACTCCGACCACTCACTACATGTGAGGCAAAAACTGTCTTTCGATCTCTCTTCTCCGGCTGCCGCGCTGGCAGGCGGTCGTGTTTTCGGTCCCTTAGTTGTATTTTGTTGTATTGTCTGTTTATGTTGTTTTAAGTTTGATATTGGAATTGCCGTACAATAAACAACCAATCCGGAACCTTTGAGTATTCTGATTCATTCTACAACCACGGTAGCAACATCTTGGTCCGTGACAATGGCGAGCACGCCAGGATTTGGACAGTTTTGTTGACGGCAATTTCGAAGAACAGAAAAGGAAGCGACTTTCAGCACAGAGAAATTGTGTGCCGGAAACAGTGTGACAAGGGCCTTTTATGGATAAGAACAGAGCAAGGTCAGATCGAAATAGTGGAATTGGCTGACAAGAACTGCAAGAATATTTCATGGACTGTTTTGTTCATGTGAGCTCGATATGGCGGGCGAAAATGATGAGTGGTGGAAAGACTGTGTGTGTTCCGAGTTGCAGCAGTGGTTAAAAAATGAAATTGTCCCCCCTTGGTGTAAAACAATGTTTTTATGGGTGAGATTTCGGGTGATGATGGTGGCTCGATATGCAGGCGGTAGTTGGGGCTGGCTGGACTTTGGTGACCAGTTTTTGGATATGGGATTGTGTGTGTTGCCTGCAGTGGTGGATCCCTGGGCCGTTAGAATCCCTTTGTTTGTGGTCAATATGGGCCAGTAGCCGTTGCATATCGGAGCGGGATCCCTGCGGGGAGGAGTAAGTCTAGGAGGGAACATTTTCCCCCAAATTGCTGAGATGACGAACGCATGGATACAGAATGAAAACTATCTGAGTTAGGCTATGTTTATGCTGGCTGCGTTTGAAGGCGACTTAACATAACATGTTCCATTTCATTCGTGATAACTTTGATTTTCTTCAACTTGTGCTACCATGTTAGAACTTCTCTGGTATATGCCTCTAGTTTGAAGGGGTGGGGTACAGACGTTTTTAAAAATTAGATATTTGGTGAATTTTGAATTCAAATTAGTGCAGTTTTTATATCTGTTTCACATTTAGGGTAGGAGTTTTTTTTTTTAGAATAAAACTTGTTGAGTTTCATTCTGAACAAGAATAGGGCTCTGTCGCGGACTAAAGTGTCCGCGTTTATGTTTTGTGTATATATATATATTTATGTTTATAGACTGTTATGTTGACATTTATTTAATGCTGTTTTGTCGGATTTGGACTCCGACCACTCACTACATGTGAGGCAAAAACTGTCTTTCGATCTCTCTCCTCCGGCTGCCGCGCTGGCGGGCGGTCGTGTTTTCGGTTCCTTAGTTATATTTTGTTGTATTGTCTGTTTATGTTGTTTTAAGTTTGATATTGGAATTGCCGTACAATAAACAACCAATCCGGAACCTTTGAGTCTTCTGATTCATTCTACAACCACGGTAACAACATCTATCTAACCGTGACACATGTTCGTTGAAAACGGTTTCCTGACAAAAGCGTTGCTGGCGAATCAGTGAATAATTCGGTATAACCAAATCTGAGCTGTGTTGTATATATATGTAGGGTTACCATATTTTTGTAACTTCAAATCGGGACGCCCCCAATAACAACGACCCCTTAGCTCTTATTTTGTAAGTTTACACTTACAGTTTCCGATTTTACTACATAGACCTACATTTAAAGCTATCCCGGTTGTCTTCATTCCATTGACCATATTGTCATCGAGAGTTCATGCGCATATTCTCTGTCCAAATATTGGGTTCAGTTCGAGAAGGGAATTGACGTTAAAGAATTACAAATAATTCGTATACGAATTCAGACTGATTAGTATTAGTTTTACTTGCAATGCGTTTGCTGACAATGTTAGTGGAAAACAAACACATTCACCTTCAGTAAGTATAGGCGAGCGTTGCGCTACACAGAAACAACAGTAACGAAAACATGTACGTGTATTATGCTGAATGGCTGAACGCCAAAGCGGGACTTTTGGCTGACTTGTCGGGACGGCGGGACACGACGCTAAAAAGCGGGACTGTCCCGCCTAAAGCGGGACGTATGGTAAGCCTATGTATAAGCCATAATATGTCCCCAATTGATTTGCTCGGAAATGATGTAATGATACCGCAGAGAATCTTATTTGACCTTATATACAAACTCCCACCATTTTTTCTTCCTCTTTCATTTCTAACTTTCTCACGTCATTCCTTCCGCTTTCTCTCCTTTCAGTTATTCGACGTTGAATTTGCGTTGTTGACATTGAGATATAATTGTTTACGTTCTTTGTTTACAATATTCACCTTCGTGAGAAAGTAAACATAGCGTGTGTTGGTCATGTGACTTGCCTGAGTTATTTGAATATGTCTATACGCAAATTTACAAACGGGTTATGTACTGCTGTCGCAAAAAATTGTCAAATAGCTACAGCCCCTTTTTTAAGTTATTGATGTGAATAGGTGATCTTTTTTTCAATCGAACGATGTAATCTTAAATCTTTTGGTTCAAACTTGTAAAACAACCAGGTGAAATAAACGATCATCCGTTATCACAGACTGAGTTGAAACGAGGCGAAATATTTGTGTGGAGGTTCCAAACAGATTTTTGTATTCGTGTTCATTGCTGGTTTAAAAACCAAAGCATGTAAAACTAACACTTTTAAAATCAATTGCGATTCTCGTTCTTGTTGAAATATTGTAGTCAAAAGCATTGTCGGAAATATTAGCCTCCAGCGCGTGCCTGAATGCTTCATCACTGATTTCCGATTTTATTCCGACCACTGATTGCTATAATAAACAAACAATAGAATGACAAGAAGGAAGAGCGTGGGAATTTTTTTGCTTGACAGAATAAATTTGTCGCCTGAAATTGAATAGTATAGTTACAATAAAATTTGTGGGATTTTGAAATGATTTTAATGTGAAAACGACGAAAAATAATATATATACAAGATGTCCATAAAGTCCCTTTATAATTACAATTATGTTATTAAGTCAGTCTCAAGATATCTTAACTAGGTTTTGCTGTGTTTTTAATCAGTAATTGTTCAAGTATATATTTTTACTTCATTTAATACATCTGTGAGGACCAAATGAGGACAATATATGGTATTAATAATTTTTCTTGGCAATTTTAAAAAATGTTAAGACTTTATGAACACCCTATACACATGTAAAACATACAACATTCAAATGCAGTTCATCCTAATTGTTGATTGATTTTTTACATGGACTCGAAGTGTACACGTGGATGGCTTCATAAAATTACTGTTACTGTTTATATTTTCCCGCTAGCTGACTTTTCATCACTCGAAAAGAGAAAATTTTTTGATGCCAATATTTCACTACAAACTTTGCAAAAATCGAAATCCGTCCCAACTTTTCATATAACACCCGGTACAAGCCTTGTTACTTGGCTTTACATTTGTATGGAATTTTGCTGACAAACTCCGTTACATCTATAAGAAATCGATTGATTTTGTCTGTACATCACTTGAATTAAATGTGAATATAAATTGAGCAGATGGAAGAAACATCGTGGGAAATATTTCGTGGTCTATATTATTTGAAACGGATTCCTGGTTGAGCAGATACGGAGTTAGAAGTACGAAATAGGATGAAATAAATATCAACTTTCCCATTTTCTAAAAATCATTTTAATGGGGCCATAATTCTATCTAATACTGATTTTTTTTTCGGTCGAAAAACGTCCACAATCTACCACTAGTATAAATTATGTATATAACCGAGTCCTAGCTTCTTGCTAATTTCATATATAAAGGTTGCTATACGACCACTGTTGAACTTTTTTTCTAATTTGCATACGCTTATGTTATTTCCAAAATTCCACCAATGTCGATTACAAAATTTAGTTTAAATTTTTGTCGGGATTTGTGTCTATCAAAGAGCAACTCGATTTAATATTACTGAAGGTACTAAAGGACTAATTTTCGGCTTGCCCCAACTGATTTCAAATTGACAGAAATTGAACATTTAATTGCCGGGTTTTGCCTCAATAAAACTTCCGTTTGGTATAAATCTTTCACTATCGGGTTAATTACCCAAATTCATGGGGAAATAATCCATTCATCCGTATCGTTGCGTTAATTAAAGGCATCCGATTTACTTGAACGCTGCTGCGAATATGAAAAATAACATTGAAGCAATGGACAAAAATATAAATAATTCATACTTTTGCGTTAAGGGAGCAAACGAAATCTACGTATAACTAAGTCACATCATAACAATTTTGGCTCGTGCCACTGAATCGTATATTTTTTGCACTGATGTCGTGAGCTACTAATATATTAAAAAAACGACGTGAACAATAGCTTAAGGATCTATCTTCAGCGAGATAGAAGAAAAAGTTTTTATTAAAATTCTTTGTGAAAATATAATAAAACTAAAATTGCGAGTACTCGTAAAAGCCTATTTAAATTATTTTAAATTGAATTTACGATATTTAGAACTGAAATAGCAAATAACATTCATTCCACGAGCATTAAAACTTCTTTGTCCTTTTGCATTTCAAATTCCAAAAAAAAATGTAATCATAATGTAGAAGGACTCATAGAAATTTCACATATGGATTCAAGCACAATGCAGAAGTTTATTGTATTGCATAATGAAACCTGAATGAATAGAACTTCCGTTCAGTCTGAACTTTATTCTTGGTTGAGCAGATAATTATCCAAGTTCATTTATATTTAATCCATTCATCCGTATCTTTATCTCTGTAATTAAAGACATCCGATCATAGTACCCGCTGATGAATATCGCATGTGAAAATGAATTTCTGAAACTCAAAGGTGATTTGTACTAACAACCTTCTCCGACCCTAATTCGCTAAATCGCTATTCCAACATTCATATTTGCTAACAATATGAAAAATCTTATTCATTTTTATCATTTTTTTTATCCAAAATATTTGTCAGTATACCTTAAACATGAATAGGCGGTTCCTATATATGTGCACATTTTCTATGATCATTCATACTTTCTCATATTTGTTTTCTGGGGCGCCATATAACTTGTTAAAGACGACTATTTTTGTTCAGTAGTTTTCTTCGCCTTTTGATCTTATTAGTATCGACAAATAATGCGGAAATTTGAAAATAAAATTGATAGTCTTTCGTGTCTGATCGTAGAGATAACTTAAAGTTACATTTTCCATCTCTTTCGGCAAATTCTCATTAATGCACATAACATGAGCTTGCAATCTGGTACAATTTTGGGATCTCCAGAAGTATGTGCACCAAGATGGCGCACAAGCTGAATTTAGTATGTGTACCAGGTTAGGGTTCAGGTTGTGCGCCATCTTAGTGCACATACTTCGGGATCGCCCAATTTCGCAATATGGTACCTCACATAAGCAGACACAAACAATCCATTCATCCGTATCATTGCTGCATTAATTAAATTTTCGGGATAGTTGAACCCTAACAATTTAACATCAATTATTTTTTAGTTAAAATTATTTCTAATAAACTTTAAAAACTGAAACTAAAATTAGGATCACTCATATCTTCCTTTCTATCCTTATACAATATTACTTTTTTATGACGTCGAAAATTAATCGAGTGAGAAGACAAGAAACAATTTTCATAACAATTATAATTAAATCGAAAAATTAATAAAATCGAAAAAACATATATTTTGCTTTTTATTTCCGTTTCTTATTTTCGTAGTTTTCTTGTCTTCATAACATGATTTTTAAAGTGAAGTTGGGTACGTAATGAATCCGGCGCTTCCGTAGTATGTGCACCAAGGTGGCGGACAATCTGATAAACCTAACCTGGTACACATACTATGTTCAAGTGTGGGCCATCTTGATGCACATACTTCGGAAGCGACATAAATCCATATTAAAAATTGCGGAATACGCATTTTATCTAGAACTAAGTGAATTAGACATGTGTAAGTGAATTTGTTTGTATCAGCCTTTGTAGATACTAGATGTTTATATTTGATCGTTCCTTTATTTTTAGGATATCTTAGATTTGAACCTAAATTTAATAATCCTATGAATCGAATGCGAAGTATTTCAAATTTTAATGAAGGATATACATTGTATGGAATTGTTTTCGCCTCTCTTCATTTATTCTCATATTTCACACATGAGTGAACAAATAATCTTACTTTCGAGTTTTTTTTAGAATATTTTTGAAATAAATTCTGAATTGAAATGTTAAAATTCAAATTATTCGTTTGTAATATGAATGAACCTGTTCAAGTTTGAGCAATATTTGCGTTATGTACAACATGCATCTGACAAATATGTTGGATAAATATTGAAACTATTCACACCATTTGTGCAAATATTTCGCAAAGGAAGCAAACAAAATCCTGGCATAAACGAGTCACACGACAACGATTTTTGCTCGTGCCATTGAGTCGTCTATTGTTTGCATTGTTGTCGCGGGCGTAAATTATCAACAACGACGCAAACAATTATCTTTCAATGTCAACAATACAGGTTCAACGTCACAGGGGGAGAGAACGAACTTGGGGGGAGGAAACGAGTACGGGAATGAGCGTGGGAACGTGGGAAACGGAGAGAGAAAAGGGAAGTTGACTGATAAGAGATTGCATATAAGTTGAGACACCCGCAACGAAAATCATATCATTCAATATTCAATCCTTTTATCTGATCTACTATTCGAACTATATATTTGCATCTTCCAAAGCTTAGTGGAAAGATCATCATCAAATATGGCCTACGCCACCGCATATGCCTTTCCTCCACAAAGTTCAACATCTAATTTCGCCGGATTTGCACCACCAAGATGCGACAGCATGACATCTCATCCAATTCACGGCATGGTTCCAAATGGACATCAAGCGGCATTTTTCAACCCTCACCTCGGCATGGGACCGCTTCGCAACAGGCAGAATCTTCAGGAACAAGTTTACCTCAATCAGGCTACAGGTAAAAGTCAATATTTCCAGCAACCTCATTCTGGCCTGGACTTCAACTTTCAAAATCAATACTTTGGTTATGGCCAAGCTAGCATCAATCCAAAAATCTTGTCTTGCAAGTGGATTATCAAAGGCAACAAAGGTGATAATAACTGCGTAACATGCGATCAAGAGTTTTACAGCCTGACTCATTTAGTCGACCACGTCACTGTAGACCATGTTGGAGGTCACGATCAAACCGACCACACTTGTCACTGGAAGGATTGCCAACGAGAGAAGGGATTCCAAGCAAAATACAAACTTGTTAATCACATAAGAGTTCACACAGGTGAAAAACCATTTCTTTGTCTTTATCCCAATTGCGGCAAAGTATTCGCAAGAAGTGAAAATTTCAAAATCCACAAGCGCACTCATACTGGAGAGAAACCATTCGTTTGCCCATTTGATGGATGTGATAGACGATTTGCAAATAGCTCCGACCGCAAAAAGCACACTTACACTCACTCAACTTCCAAACCATATGGCTGCCGAGTTCCTGGATGCAAGAAAACCTACACTCATCCGAGCTCTCTCCGAAAGCACATCAAGATGCACGAAGCTGAAGGAACAGTAGTACCTCCGGAAAGTGACGGCAGCGATTCAGCAGTTACTTCACCAACATCTAGTAACGGACCCTCTGGAAATAACAATAATTTGTATCGTCTCGAAACATCCCCAAGATCAAATGAAAGTGGAATGGGTTCTTCTCCATCGCCACATTGGCCAACCTGTCGAGAACAGGCGCCTCCCAACGTTGATCTTGCTCGAGAATTCGGTTATGCTGCTGCTTCAATCAATTATGAACAGACTATCACACCACCACCTTCATCGTCCAATGCCGAAGATTTAACCCAACTACAAACAAAAACTTTCGCCATGGAACGAACAAACTCTTATGAAAGAAACCCCGCTAGTCCACCTCCAGCCAAGAGGCAATGCATGCCACCTAATGTCTGCCTGGCACCGTGTTCGTCAACTTCATTTTACGCGACACAACTGAGCCAATCAGGTATATTTCAAGGAAATAAGGTTTCGTTTTATCCGATTCCAACAATTGCTGAAACACAACCAGAATCAACCTTCCGGACATCACCTCCAATTAGCGCTCCTTCGGCTCCTGGATATTTCTACCAAGCACCAATGTATTCGAACCAATTGAATGTATTTGTTTCATGAACAAAACGGCAGCTAATCACTTAGGTCCGTGATTCTCAACCGGGCGGGGTGGAACTAATTAAAAATAAAAATATTTGTTAGATTTGAACATTTCCCGCACTATTTTTGATATTTACATTTCTTTATTTTAGATATTTACGTTCCATCTACGTATTTTTAACAATTTTTAAAATAAAACATACTTTTGCCATATCTGTTATTTGTAGCTTATTATAAGCTAGTTATTTTTAGGTACAACGCGAGAGTTGACAATTCTAAAACGGGGGCGCGGCTTCAAAAGTTTGAGAAACATTGACGCAGATATTATAATTGGCATTCGCATTTCCGCATGGGCACCGTCACATCTGTATATTTTAGGCCACTTGCGCTCACCTGAATGTTCTACATGTAAACTTCGCTTGTGAATTTTCAATGTACAATTAATGACCTTATATTTATCATATTTTTTTCTGTTTTTGTCAATTCAGTGTTTATAAACATTGTAATAATTGATGCAAAGAGCATTTGAATTATATGATTTCGAAGAACTTTACATAAGCTTCATTCTGGTCAATGTACATATAAACCGCTGCTGGTAAATTGGTCAATGTTCGTGAGTCTTCGTGCAAAGAGATGTCACACGGAAAATCCCATCGCCTTGTTTTAAAGTATATACTATTGTTTGTTATTATTACCTGAAATATATTTTATTTACACAATCACTGAACTTCAGAATAGTGCTGTGATAAGAAATTTTCTAAGCCAACAATAGTGAAATGCATGTGAATTTGCTAGTGAAGTGAGCGAACATATTATAAAACTATTTCTTAATTTTCCCGCCTCAAGGTTGTAATATTCTGATATTGCATTATTAAATATGAATAATCTCGAAATATTTGATGTCTGGTTTATATTTTACAAATATGCACAGGATAAAAAATACAACAATGTATTGTGTTCAAAAAATGGATAAAAACTTTTTAAATAATTGTCGGTAATCAAAAACGATGTTAAATATGAAAATACCATGTCTATTTAATTGGCTGTTAATTTAGGTGGCTGTGCAAACAAATCATAAAGATTTGGTATGTTTTGAGTTTCTGGTGGTGATTCCCGGAATACATTTTGCTGAAGAGAAAGCACATTCGATTGGTTATATCCTTGAGATATACCAGATTGACTCGTTTGTGGCGCGTTCAATGAAGTTGGCGAACACGATGCAAGGCTGACATCAGGTGGCATGCATTGCCTCTTGGCTGGAGGTGGACTGGCGGGATTTCTTTTAAACGAGTTTGTTCGTTCCATGGCGATAGTTTCTGTTTGTAGTTCCGTTAAATCTTCGGCACAGGACGATGACGTTCGTGGAGTGATAGTCTGTTCATACTTGATTGGAGCAGCAGAATAACCGAATTCTCGAGCAAGATCAACGTTGGGAGGAGCCTGTTCTGGACTGGTTGAGGAATGTGGTGATGTCGAAGAATCCATTCCACTTTCAGTTGATCTTGGGGAGGTTTCGTGACGATACAAATTACTGTTATTTTTGGATTCATTGCTTGATATTGGCAAGGTAACTGCTGAATCGCTGTCGTCACTTTTTGAAGGTATTGCTGTTACTTCATCTTCGTGCATCTTGGTGTGCTTTCGGAGAGACCTTGAGTGAGTGTGGGTTTTCTTGCATCCAGGAACTCGGCATCCATATGGTTTAGAAGGTGAATGAACGCGAATGTGTTTTTTGCGTCCGGAGCTGCTTGCAAATCGCCTATCACATCCATCAAATGGGCAAACGAATGGTTTCTCTCCAGTATGAGTGCGCTTGTGGTTTTTCAAATTTTCAATTCTTGCGAATACTTTGCCGCAATTGGGATGAAGACAAGCAAACGGCTTTTCACCTGTGTGAACTCTTATGTGATAAACAAGTTTGTTCTTGCCTTGGAATCTCTTCTCTCTTTTGCAATCCTTCCAGTGACAAGTGTGGTCCATTTGATCGTGACCTCCAACATGGTCTACAGTGACGTGATCGACTAAATGAGTCATGCTGTAAAACTCTTGATCGCATGTTACGCAGTTTTCATAACTCTTGCTGTCTTTCATAATCCACTTGCACGACAAGCTTTTTGGTTTGTTGTTAGCTTGGCCATTTCCAAGGTATTTTTTAACTATACTCTTTGTCGTCATTTGACATATAGGCCGAACAGTGGAAATATCAAATGGGGAATTAGCAGCTTTTGCTACACAAGAAGCAGCGCGCGAAACTAAGTTTTATGTTTGTTGTTTTATTTTCAGCTTTGTTTACTAAGCAAAACGGCTGCTAATCCTTTATGTTATAATGATGTTATAATTGCCATTCGCGTTTCCGCACAGGCTCAGTCACATAATTCTCGTACTAATTTTTTTTGTATGGTTCCAACACTTGTCGGTCTTCCTATCACCTTTTCCATGTGTTTTATTCGTTTTTCTGTTTTTTAAGTCTTGGTTTTGTAATAGAATATGAGCAAGTGCTTGCATAAGCCGTAAGAAAGTTGTAAAAATGTAAACATAGCGTGGGTTGTTCGCGTGACTTTTGTGGGTTATTTGGATATACGAAAACTTGCAAACAGTTTATGTAGGCTTCAATTATTTTTCCGAAAATATGTTAACAGCAAATTCGACAATCCTTTTTGCTATAGCAACTTATTAGGGATATTGATATAAATTTTCGCCTCTGTTAAGTCGAATGGTGTGATTCGAAATAGTTCTTTTGAATCTTGTTTTAAACTGAAACTAAACAAAACAAATATGATCTCATTTAGCCAGTTGAAATTAACTCTAACAGGTCATACTAGCATCATTGAGTCAAACATTGTACCAAAATACAAAAGCAGATTATCTTTATTTATTTGTTTTGCTGGTTCAAACGCAGCATTTAAACAAACTGAAAACTTTTAAAACCAATTGTAATACTATGTTGAAATATTGTGGTCAAAAGTGTTGTCGACGATATCAGCCTCCAGCGCGTGCCTGAATGCCTTATCACTAATTTCCGATTCTACTTCCGACCACTGATTGCTATCATAAACAAGCAATAGAATGATAAGACGGAAGAGCGTGGGAATTTCATTTCATGCTTGACATAATAAATTTTGTCTTTGGAAATTGAAAACCATATTACAATATATTCTGTGGAATTTCAAAGTCTCTGATTTTAATGAGAAAAACGAAGAGAATATAATATAATAGTTTTAAACATGCAACGTTTAAATATAGATGGATTTCACTTTGAATTTATTGGGCACAAAGTGTGAATGACTTTGTGAAATTATTGTTATTTGCAATTACATTTGCCTCTAATTTTGCTGACAAATTGCTCGACATCTCTATGAAATCGATTGGTTTTGTATGTACAACACTTGAATGAATATTGAATTAGCTGTATAGTAGGGCGGGGGATGATGGCCCCCCTTATTGAAAATTATCTATATTTCGAAAACCTTTCTTCAAATATTTCTAAAACTTTGCAAGTACAAACATAAGGGGCTGAACTCTTTAGCCACTCGGCGGCGTCCGCCGGTCTCCAACCATCGCAACAGCAGAAACGTTTTTGAGCGAAAAAAAAATTCGGGGAAGTTGGACATATGGTCGGATATGACGGACATGTAATAAAATCGCATCAAAATACTAGTATTGCGTTCTGTTTCTTATCAGAATATCAAAATATGCAATGTATTTGGAAAATTTTTTGGGGCATTCGAAAATTCCCCCTATGTCCATCTTACCCCTTAAATTTTTGAAGTTGTGAACCCATATAATTGTTCACGAAAGTATGATAAAACACCACCTAGTAAAGCAGCCAAATTTTATTTGATCATACTTTCACACAAATTTTAATCATAACACCAAAAGAACATCTGGGATAGCATGAAAGCTATCGTCATGGAATTTTACATTCGAATGAAAATATTTATACAAAAAAGCTTCAAGCAGAGCAGTCATCACATTGGAAGGACACAATGTGTTTTCCATAAATCCTGGCACAAATATCGTGAAGCCACTTTTGGCATTTCTGGCACTGCATCCATCCCTCGTCCTCTTCGTCGTCAAAATATTTGACCTTGCAGACAGCACAGAGGTTACTGTAACAATATCTTTCATGTCGCTCATTCTTACGTTTATTTTCTTTTTTCTTCCTGGGAGCTGCAACTTTCTTAGACGAGCTAGATGACATCGTTTCTGCGAGTGCTGTAGTTTTCCTGAACGAGCTAGGTGGCGTTGTTTCTGCGAGTGCTGACAGTTCGGCTACATAATTCTCACTTGTTAACACTCTAATTCCTGCCTGAATGGCTTTCTTTGCCTCTTGGCTCTCTGAGTGGCTACTGGAAGAGGCAAATATATTCAAATGATGAACTGGTGCTATCAGATCTCTGCTATTTTCTTGCCTCAAAGAATCACTGACGTTATCAGAAACTAACTGAACTCCTGGTGAAGTTCTACTTGAAAAAATCGTTAGAGAGCACAGAGCAGCATGGTTCACTTGTGACACTTTCTACCTCTGTCGTGGTGTTAACCTCATGAGATGGTACATCTTAGTCTCTATTTGTTATTTGCCTCTGTTTGATATTCTTTGGTATTTTCTCAACATTCTTTAGGATTTTCTGTTTCCCGAGCATCCAAAACTTGCATCTGGAAAAACATGATAGTACATAAGGGTAAGATGGCCACCCCCATAATTTCATAAGATTATTGAGATTATCCAAGAAGTGTTTTGACAGGTAAAAGCAATAACAAAATTAAAAAGAAGACTTTCTGGTATCTTATTCACAAAGAACGGGTTTGAACGGTCAAAGTAAATATAAAACCGAAAAACGCAAGAAATTTATTACCCCCTCATAACCCCCCCCATTTTTACATGATCACATGCTGAAAGATATAGTTAGCTGCTAGATGGCACAAGTCGCTCAGTTAGTCCTAAATCATTGTCAGTAAGTATAAACTTACCAACAAACGCGCGATTCAGAGTTCCTTCGCTGAAAATGAGCATATAGTGCCTCCAAGAAAAACGTGTCCTTACTAAATGCCCTTTTTTCACCCTTCAAAAATCACAAGCCACGTGGAAAGCTACACAACTGACGAACTACGCCAAGCGCTGAACCGAAATGGCTAGAACGAATTCCCTCCTTAGCAACGAACTCGGCAATGGCATTTGCAGAACCAAGCCCCATAAGATGTCGCCAATAGGTCAATTTGAAAAAAAGTGTCCATCTAACCCCGTGTGTCTATCTTCCCCCGCCCTACTATATATAATATGCCCACTCATTCAATAAGATAGCTGAACAAAGGCATGAGTGAATCAACATGGTGCCAGAGATTTCTAATACGCATGTAGGTCAAAAAAATCAAGCATTTTATTTTTATCGCAAACTAAGATAAACTTATCTATTTATCGGCACTCTGGATAAAGTTGAAGAGTATTTTTGATATTCCCTCTTGATAAGATATTGGATGCATTCGAAGAAACAGCGTGGGAATAATTTCGTGGGCAACATTGGGACCTCCTGGAGTATGCGCACCAAGATGGCGCACCTCCTGAACTCAGGTTGTGTACCAGGTTAGGGTTCAGGTTATGCGACATCTTGGTGCACATACTTCAGGAGCACCCTACATTGGTTATCATTCTCTGAGATTGAGTTATATTTTACTAAAAGTCCTTACGGCAACAATAAACTTCGCTAAAAAGAAAAACTATATAGACACAAACAATATATTTTACTACTGGAAAAATGATGTTGATAATGATGGATTATTGTTGAAAATGCTTATATCGATTTCCAGTCAAATCTCTATTGAACCACGAATTCGGTTACCGTAAATTATTTTGTTGCTCACAACTGAAATGTTCGTTAAAACGGTTGATTGGTATACTTGTAAAAAGGTCGTTGGCGATACATTGACACACCCGGTATACTCTGGGTTGTGGGACAGAGTATGAGTAAGCGGGTTGCATAAGCGAATAATATTTTTCAAATTATTTGGCTCGGAAGCGATGTAATGATGCGGTCGAGATATTTATTTGACCTTATATACAAACTCTTATCATTTCTTCATCCACTTCCAACTTTCTCACGTCATTCCTTCCGCTTTCTGTTACTCGGCGTAGAATTTGCGTTGTTGACATTGAGATAAAATATTTTACGTTCTTTGTGTACAATACTCACCTGCCGTAAGATTGTAAACATAGCGTGTGTTGTTCGCGTAACTTTCGTGCGTTATTTGGATATACGAAAATTTGCAAATAGTTTATGTATGCTTCAACTATTTTTCCGAAAATGTGTCAACAGCAAATTCGACAATTCTTTTTGCTATAGCAACTTATTGGGGATATTGATATAATTTTTTACCTCTGGTGTTTGGTCGAATGATGTGATTCGAAATAGTTCTTTTTAAATCTTGTTTTGAATTAAAACTAAACAAAACAAATATGATCTCATTTAGCAAATTGAAATAAACTCTTACAGGTCATACCAGCATCCTTGAATCAAACTTTGTACCAAAAGCAGATTATCTTTATTTATTTGTTTTGCTGGTTCAAACGCAGCATTTGAACAAACTGAAAACTTTAAAACCAATTGTAATTCTTGTCCTTGTTGAAATATTGTAGTCAAAGGTGTTGACGAAAATATCAACCTCCAGCGCGTGCCTGAATGCCTGCCTTATCACTGATTTCCGATTCTATTTTCGGCCACTGATTGCTATCATAAACAAACAATAGAATGATAAGACGAAAAAACTTTTGCTTTTTAAAAAAAAAACACAGCCACAATTAAATCTGTGAATCTGATTTAATGGGGAAAAGACGAGCATGCAACATTCCAATATGATGCTTCAATTATTGATATTTATCGGGGTTTTCACTTCCAATTTATCGCTTTGTAAAAATAGTTGCTGCTGTTTATGTGAAAAAATAGGCTATGTCTGCTAACCAATCGATTTCGATTTTCTCTACTTAAAATGAAAAAAGGGGTGCTCCCGAAGTATTCGTACCACGATGGCGCACAACCTGAACATAGTATGTGTACCGTTGTTAAGGTTGTGCGTCATCTTGGTACAAATACTTCCGGAGTGCCGAAAAAAGACCGCTAGAATACCATAGCTTTTTTTCATGTTTCCTACAGGGCTAATATTTCAACCCAAACTTTGCTCTTCATTTTACTTCACGGACAGTCATTTATATGACATCTGATATTCACATTCTCGTGATGTTTGGTTCTACATTTGGCTTGCTGCCATTTTGCTGACATTGCCGCAATCAATCGTGTCTATTTTGTTATTTGGTGATGTTATCAGTTTGGAAACATTCGCTGATTTATATTCGTTATCAATTTTAAGAGAATCTTATCTGTTGGTCAATACTTCAACTGAAGTTCAAAGCTTTATTTTTAAAATTTCATGATAAGAAATAACAAGGGTTATAATTTTTGTAACCAAGTTATAGAATTCAGTGAAAGCAAAGTCGTGTTAACTTCGTAATGGGTAAAACTACCCTCTTGTTTACAACAAAGGTTTCCTTTGAGGAAGAGGCGTAGTGGTGACTCGGAAGAAAAGCGATATACTTGAAATGTGATAATATATGATGTTATATAACAGTGATTCCCAAAGTGGGCGATATCGCCCCCCGGTGGGCGAAAACGATACAAAGGGGGGCGAAAAAGTCGAAGGGGGCGATAGGGGGGCGATTTCGCGAAACCTGTTTTTGGTCGGCGCATCGTGCAGTGAGAGTGGTTTCGCGAGTTGTTGCATATGAAATGAAGTATTTGTTTCAAACTATCATTCTAATTGATACCATCCAAAAATCTGTTTCAATGTGTCTAGTGTAGTCTATCACAGCTATTTCTACACTAATTTTTGATCACTGTAATTAAACTGAAACTCTTAGGAGGACAAGGTGATCATTGACTTATTTCATTTAAATTTTCGAAAAACAACTAAAAACTAACGAATATAATTCAAAATTGCGAAAATGAGGTAATGTTCACGACCACGCCTGAAAGTCTGTCTGAGTGAGGAATGCTTCTGAGCGGATGCGAAAGGGGGCATTATTACGTTAATATTTGCATCTTCCTGATTGGCCAATGTCACGAAGTAAACAAGAAAGTCTTTGCCAGGAGAAACACCCAAACGGCGGTTTTAACGATGAATTAACTTTATTTCTTATCTACGCTCGAGGAGTAAATTACATTTTTTTTACGTAACAGAATTTATCGTGAGACACGTTTAGACTAAATTTAATTATATCCTAAAAATTATATTGAACAACTACTCGTTTAACAAGCCTACAATTCAATTATAATTAGACAAATGCGAACACGCAGAAAAGTTGATGTTGAGTGCAGGGGTTCAATAGCGCAGTAAATATTCGAATATATTGCAATGCAATAAGGAAATCAAATTCATATTCTATTCGAGAGATTCATCACAGCTTCATTTTTGTAAGAATGTATCTTCTCAAAGGAAATCTTTATCAAATTTTCACAAGCCATGCGAAAATATTCACTTCAATGTTTCGAAGTACATATTTGTGCGAACAAATATTTTTGAAAATGAACATTACAAAGAACTAGGATTAGTGATGCCCATTAGAAAATCTTCCGATCTTGGCGTCGTAAAGCTATCAAGCGTGATGCAGCAACAAGACAGTGTCACATCAAATGTCATTGTAATAATTTTTTAATAAGACGACTGAGTTGAGTTCACGAATTGTCGCAGTTTTTGCACGAAGTTCCGTTTTTAACTTTCAAAAAATATATGCGATCCGCAAAAGACTAGCAACCCTAAATTTTGTCCCGCGAGCGACGTAAAATTTGCCGACCCCTGAGCCATCCGAGTCCACGAATTCAAAACAAATGGCTGATTACTTCTATGGACTGGTGATCGGACTGGAGGACGTGGTAGGATGAGGAATGGAGGATGAATTTCACCGAAGACCGTTATGTATCATGTATTTTGATGAAGGTCATAAGGCTGTAGAGATGAATGAGATGTACCTGAATCATTAGTATAAAATTCAAAAAAATCATCTTGTTTTCATTATTTCAATGTAAAACGGGGTGTGAATGAGAATTAAATGCTATAAGGCAATAGTACACTGCGGTTTTTGAGGAGGTAGAACCCTGGATTCTTTCATTTCCGACTTCTGATATGGTGAAAAACGGGTTTTCAGCAGTGACACTATTGCTATCAAAACAACCAAATCGCCTTTCCATCAGTAAACGGGGTAATTTTAGTGATAAGATAAGATTTAGTTTAAGATAAAAAAAACTCGCTGAAGAACACCAAGCTCATCCATCTCATTAAAAACACTATGTATAAACTATGATTTGTCTCCTTATTTGGTATGTAATATATTCGTTTCAGACTTCCAATTTTTTTGCAGTGCCGGGGGGCGATGAAATTGCATAAACTACTGTAGGGGGGCGATGGTACAAAAAGTTTGGGAACCACTGTTATATAAAACAGACTAAACTAAGCAATTGTTGATCGTCAAGTCAACAAAAATGATTCAATGAGGTATTGAGCATTTTCAAGTAATTTGTTTTAAGACTTATATGGTTTCGGAGCATTATAGTGTGTATAATTAATTTATGGTCGATGTACAGATAATCGCTAGGGAACTTGTAAGTCTTCGTGCAAAGTGATTTCGCATAAACAATCCTACCTTCCTTGTCTTTATATTATTGTTTCTTATCACTGACTGAGATATCTTCACCTTTACACTGATGTTTTCAAAGTGCTGTTCTGTGTACTTCGATAAGAAATAGTCGGAGCAAACACTAGCAAAATTACAGTAACAGCGTGGGAATTTACGAGTGATTTACCCGGAGACATATATTCTAGAACTATTCCTGCTTACAAAGTTAAAGACTCAAAATATAAATTCCACTATCGAATATAAATAATTCTCTAAATATTGATCGTTTAATTTTTATTTTACAAATATGTACAGGATATAAAATGCAACAGAACAAAACATTGCGTGCAATATTTGATAGGCACCGAAATACAAAGTGATTTATATGATTGTCAGTAATAAATAGGACGATGTTAAATTTGGAAATACTATGTCTAATGAATTCCTCAATAATACTGGGACGGTGGTTGTGCAAAGATATCGTAAAGATTTGATGTGTTTTGGGTTTCGGGCTTTGGTCCCCCGAATACATTTTGCTGAAGAGGAAGCATATTCAATTGGTGTGAGTACATTGGTGCTTGGTAGAAATATCCAGAAGCCGAGGGAGCGCTGATTGGGGGTGAAGTACGGAATGTTGATTCTGGTTGTGTTTCAGCAATTGTTGGAATCGGATAAAACAAACTTTTATTTTCTTGAAATATTCCTGATTGGCTCAGTTGAGCCGCATTGAATGCAGTTGATGAACACGGTGCCAGGCTTACATTAGGTGGCATGCACTGTCTCTTGGCTGGAGGTGGACTAGCGGGGTTCCTTTCATAAGAGTTTGTTCGTTCCATGGCGATAGTTTCTGTTTGTAGTTGGGTTAAATCTTCGGCATTGGACGATGACGGTGGTGGAGTGATAGTCTGTTCATACTTGATTGGAGCGGCAGCATAAACGAATTCTCGAGCAAGATCAACGTTGGGAGGAGCCTGTTCTGGACTGGTTGGCGAATGTGGCGATGGCGATGAACCCATTCCACTTTCATTTGATCTTGGGGATGTTTCGTGTCGATACAAATTATTGTTATTTTCAGAGGATCCGTTACTGGATGTTGGTGAAGTAACTGCTGAATCGCTGCCGTCACTTTCTGGAGGTACTACTGTTCCTTCAGCTTCGTGCATCTTGATGTGCTTTCGGAGAGAGCTTGGGTGAGTGTAGGTTTTCTTGCATCCAGGAACTCGGCAGCCATATGGTTTGGAAGTTGAGTGAGTGTAAGTGTGCTTTTTGCGGTCGGAGCTATTTGCAAATCGTCTATCACATCCATCAAATGGACAAACAAAAGGTTTCTCTCCAGTATGAGTGCGCTTGTGGATTTTGAGATTTTCGCTTCTTGCGAAGACTTTGCCACAATTGGGATAAAGACAAACAAACGGCTTTTCACCTGTGTGAACTCTTATGTGATTAACAAGTTTGTATTTTGCCTGGAATCCCTTCTCTCTTTGGCAATCCTTCCAATGACAGGTGTGGTCGGTTTGATCGTGACCTCCAACGTGGTCTACGGTGACGTGATCGACTAAATGAGTCATGCTGTAAAACTCTTGATCGCATGTTACGCAGTTTTCATCACCTTTGTTGCCTTTGATAATCCATTTGCAAGACAAGATTTTTGGAGTGTTGCTTGCTTGGCCATAACCAAAGTATTGATTTTGGAAATTGAAGTCGAGCCCAGAATGATATTGCTGGAAATATTGACTTTTACCTGCAGCTTGATTGAGGTACACTTGTTCCTGAAGATTCTGTCTGTTGCGAAGCGGTCCCATGCCGTGATGAGGGTTGAAAAATGCCGCTTGATGTCCATTTGGAACCATGCCGTGAATTGGCTGAGATGTCATGCTGTCGCATCTTGGTGGTGCAAATCCGGCGAAATTAGGTGCTGAACTTTGTGGAGGAAAAGCATATGCGGTGGCGTAGGCCATATTTGATGATGATCTTTCCAGTAAGCTTTGGAAGATGCAAATATATAGTTCGAATTGTAGATCAGATGACTGGATTGAATATTGAATGATATGATTTTCGTTGCGGGTGTCTCAACTTATATGCAATCTCTTATCAGTCAACTTCCCTTCTCTCTCTCCGTTTCTCACGTTCCCACGCTCATTCCCGTACTCGCTTCCTCCCCCCAAGTTCGTTCTCTCCCCCTGTGACGTTGAACCTGTATTGTTGACATTGAGAGATAATTGTTTACGTCGTTGTTGATAATTTACGCCCGCGACAACAATGCAAACAATAGACGATTCAGTGGCACGAGCCAAAATCGCTGTCGTGCGACTCGTTTATGCCAGGATTTTGTTTGCTTCCTTTGCGAAATATTTGCACAAATGGTGTGAATAGTTTCAATATTTATCCAACGGTAAACATTTTTGCAAGATGCAAAATGCATAATGCAAATATTGCTCAAACTTGAGCAGGTGCATTCATTTTAAAAACGAAAATTTTAATTTTAGCATAATAATTCAATATTTATTTTACAAATACTCAGAAAAAACTGAATTCAGAACATTTGTTTATTATTGGGTAAAATATGGAATTAAAGTGAGGAGAGGAGAAGTCAATTTTATAGAATTTCATTTAAATTTTATCAATTTCATTAAAATTTAAAATACTTCGCATTAGATTCATAAGAATGTTAGATCGATATAATATTTGATTGACTGAGTTTGAGAACCATGATTTCATTCATAAATTAAATTTCAGTGCGAATCTGTAAATTCCTAAGAATAAAGGAACTATCAAATATAAACATTTAGTATCTATTTAGGCAGGTACAATTTTACTTGGAAACATGTGTAATTTACTCAGTTTTGAATAAAATGCGGGTTTAATTTATATGGTTTTATTACGTAACCAAGTTACGTGACCCAAATTTTTTTAAAGTTAAGTTATAGAGAAATGAGCGAAAACAACAAAAATATCAAAGCAAATTATATCAAAGAATTATCTAGAAATAAATAGCAAATCATATTTGTGTGATTTTATAATATTTGATTCATGTATTATTGTTATGAAAGTAGTTGTCACTTGACTCAATTTGACATTAGGTAAAGTATTGTATTGGGATGGAAAGGAAGATATGGTTGATCTCGATTTTAGTCAGTGTTCAAGTAAATCGAATGCCTTTAATTAACTCAACAATGACACGGATGAATGGATTATTTTCCCATGAACTTGGGTAATTATTCCGATTGTGAAAGATTCAGACAAGACGGATGTTTCATTGAGGCAAAACCCGGCAATTAAATGTTCAGTTAATTTAAAATCAACTGAATTCTATAATTTCGGATAGACAAGAATCCTAAATGAAATTTGATCAACTTTATGAATACAAACACCCATTTTCATAGATGTGAACAAAAGAGATTAATAATCAATTACAAAGAACAGTATTATGGAATTGATAAAAAAATCAATTTTGTTTTGTAGTGAATTTAGGTTTTTGGTGTACTTTGAGCTTTTGGCTAACACATGGAGCAAATAATTGGATAATGAAAGTTAATGAACTTAATATTTTTTCTTTTGTTATGCCAAAAGAAAGCCTCATACATTCATTTATATGGAAACTTAGTAAGGGAACTTAGTATAAATGATCATAGAAAATATGCAAACATGGTTTCCGCCTATTTGAGTTTAAGGTATATTGACATATATTTTTGGATAAGGAAAAAAAAAACGAAAATAAAAAGATTTCTTCATGTTGTTAGAAAAATGGAATGTTGGAATACATCCTATTAATTTCTCGATTTTTCCCTGAATTTACGTAGGATAAGGTCCTTGATAATGTTGTTATTACGAATCACCTTTGGGTTTCAGAAATTCATTTTCACTTGCGATATTCATAAGCGCGTACTCTGGTCGGATGTCTTTAATTACAGAGACAAATATACGGATGAATGGATTAAATTTAAATGAACTTGGATAATTATCGGCTCAACCAAGAATCAAGTTCAGACTGAACGGAAGTTCCATTCATTCACTGAGGTTTTATTATGCATTATAATAAACTGGTAATTACAATTACTGCATTGTACTTGAATTTATGTGTGAAATTTTGATGGGTCCTTTTACGTTATACATGCCTACATTTTTTTTTTGAATTTGAAATGGAATATAATAAAAACGTTTTGATGCACATGGAATGAATGTTACTCTGCGATTTCAGTTCTAAATATCGTAAATGTCGTAAATCATCTTTTTATGGGTGCTCACATGGATTCTTAGGTAATTTTTACACAAAAAATTGGTAATAAAAATATTTTTCTACTATCTTGCTGAAGATGTATTCTCAAACAATTGTACACGGCATTGTTTAGATTTGCAGCCCGCGATATCAATGCAAACAATATACGGTTCAATGACACGAGCTAAAATTGTTATGGAGTGATTTAGTTAAGTTTGAATTTCGTTTGCTCCCTTAACGCAAATAGTGTGAATTATTCTAATATTTGCCCCTTGTTTCAATATTATTTTTCATATTCGCAGTGTTACCTGCTAAGTGTTCGGGCAATTTGCATTAATGCAACAATGATACGGATGAATAGATTATTTTACCATGAACTTGGCTAATTATCCCGATTGTGGATGATTCAGACAAAACGGAAGTTTTATTGAGGCAAACCGATAGTTAGTCTTTTAGTACCTTCATCAATCTGAAATCGATTGGCTTTTTGATGGACTCAAATCCCAACTAGAATTGAATTTGGTCGAACTTTGGAAATACCACAATCTTATGCTAATTTAAAAAAAGGTTCAACAGTGGTCGTCTTGGACTTGTCTAATAATCATTCTACTTGTTTATATGTTCTTGTTTCTTGATTTAGCGCATGGAAACACCACTGTCTTATGGAACAAATAGGGTGATTAGGATGATAGTCAGCTGAAAACCGAAAACAACAATTTTTTCATTGCATTACTTAAATTGCATTCTTTGGGTGAGTTATATTGTTTGTGTTTTTGTCGTTGTCCCTTTCAATAATGTCCATTTTTGTCGTATTAACTAATACAGACCAAGAAATATTTCCCATGCTGTTTCTTCCATCTCATCCAATTTCTTATCAGAAGAGAATATCAGAAATACTTCTGAACGTAATCGAAAGTGCTGATAAATAGTTGAGTTTATCTTAGTTTTGCGATAAAACTGGAATACTGATAATTTATCTCACATGCGTATTTGAAATCCCTGGCAACCATCTTCATTCAATTATGCATTTATTCAGTTATTTTATTGAGTGGGCTTTCTAACACGATATACATATAATTTAAATTATGCATATAAAACCAGCAAATATACAGCCAACTAAATATACAAGTTTAAACTAAAGTCATATGTATAAATAGCCAATTCAATTTTTATTCACACTCATTTAAGTGATGTACCGGTACATACAAAATCAATCGATTTATATGGATCTAGCGCAGTATGTCAGCTTAATCCAAGACAATTATAAAACCAAGTAAAAAGGCATGTACCAGATATTACATAAAAGAGTGGGCGGGGAAAAATCATATTGGCGCCGAAAAAAAAAATTCTGTATTCAAGTGGTGAAAATTGAAGTCGACTGCCTTGTTTCTAGCGAAGAAATGCGACATTTCACAAGAACAGAAACAACGGTTTTACAAAGCCATCCACATGTACACTTCGAGCTCAATGAATTCAAAGTGAAAAATCAATAGATAAAGCATGCAGGGAGAACTACATTAGAAAGTTGTATGTTTAATTTTTCGTCGTTTTCTCACTATAATCAGACAGTTTGAAATTTCACAGAATTTATTGTAACTATGGTTTTCCATTTCAGAGGACAAATTTTTTTCTGTCAAGCAAGAAATTCCCACGCTCTTCCTGTTCTATCATTCTATTGTTTGTTTACGATAGTAATCAGTGATCGGAAGTAGAATCGGAAGTCAGTGATAAGGCCTTCAGGCACGCGCCAGTGATAGCTGATATTTTCGACAACAATTTTTGAACATGGGGAAGAATCAGAATTAAATGAAAAATTGTTCAGTTCGTTTAAATTCTGTTCATTTCTAAACCAGCAACACATATAAATAAAGATAATCTGCGTTTGTATTTTGATACAAAGTTTGACTCAATGATGCTTGTATGACATGTGAGAGTTTATTTCAACTTGTTGAATGAGACCATATTTGTTTTGTTTAGTTTACAATTTATACCAAAATTCAAAAGGACTCTTCCGAATCACATCATTCGACTTGAACCCCGAATAAGGAGCTATAGCAAAAAGCAGTTGAAAATGTTTCGAAAAAATAGTTGTACATAACCTGTTTTCAATTTTATGTATAGACATATTCAAATAACCTAACGCAAGTCACGCGACCAACACACGCTATGTTTACATTCTCACGAAGGTGAATATTGCAAACAAAGAACGTAAACAATTATATCTCAATGTAAACAACGCAAATTTTACGTTGAATAACAGAAAGGAGAGAAAGCGGAAAGAATGACGTGGGAAAACTGGAATCGGAAGAAGAAATGATAAGGGTTTGTATATAAGGTGAAATAAACATTTCAACCGCATCATTACATCGTCTCCGAATAAAAGTAACCGAGAAATATACTCTGTTACAAAACCCAGACCTACAACACAGAAAAACGAATAAAAAACACGAAAAAGGTGACAGAAAGATGAAGTGGTGAAGAGTATACAAAAAAAAAAATTAGCACAAGAATTATGTGACGGAGCTCGTGCGCGTATGTGAAAGGCAATTATAACTTCAGTATTACTTGAATGATTAGCAGTCGTTTTGCTTGCTAAACAAAGCTGAAAAGAAAACAACACACTTAAAATTAGTTTCGGGTGATGCTTCTTGTGTAGAAAAGCACTGCAATTTCCGTAAAATTTTATATTACATATCATTCCACTGTTCGGCCCAGATGTGAAAAATGGCAAAACCTATGGTTAATCAATACGTTGGAAATGGTCAACCTAACAGCAATCTAAAAATCTTGTCGTGCAAGTGGATTATCAAAGGCAACAAAAGTGATGGA